AATAATAACAAATTCAACGTGCTAGCATTGTTTAAGTATATAGCCTATACATCCTTAAACTCTGTAGACAAAAATTGAGAGTCATCGATATGAACCAGGCATTCGTTGATTAATTGATCGGTATTCGTAGGTCGAGGCTGGATCAAAGCAAATTATTCATTTAATTCATTGTGCCAGCGAGTAGGAAGCATTTGTGCAAACAGTCCACGAGTTCTGTCGTTTAATTAAATTTTCAAATTCGACCTCAAAGCCTGGAGCCCGGAGGTTTTCAACGGTGGTGAGAATGCATCGATGATGGCCAGTAAGGGGCAGGTGGACACACGCTGTTGAGTAAATTAACGAATTCAGCCGAGTCAAAAGAGAAGCCTGCTTTTATGAAACCCTCGCTAGACGTTTCGAATTGCACTCCCGAATGCAACTCCAGCCAAATAATTTCAATCCGCGCTGCTGTTATTGCCTCCGACCTACGTTTTTGCTCAAGACTATTTATTTTCTGATGAAAGACGCGACCTTCTTTAGAGATTTTATTAGAATAAAACACATTCATTAAGAAATCTGAGTTATATACATTAAAATGATTAAAACTGACTTTGTTTATGAACAATTTTTCTGCCTGATTTCAATTAATAATAAAGATTGCTCTATTCAATTGATGAAAAAGTCTGTGAAATTGAATCTTTCACGGAATTTTTTTAAAAAGAAAATTAGTTAGAGGATGAATTTGCTGAATAATGAAAGAGGAAAATGAAAAGGCCAGGCGTGCGTGGATAAAATAATTTATTCGTCCGTAAATTGACTTAAGTCGTGACGATTAACAGACAGATGAAATACAGAAAATAGGCGAATGCGAATTAAGTACGTTCCCGTTTCGCGTGTCCGTGCGGAACGAACTCGAAAGGCATTCGGGAAAAGTTTGATTACATCCGCACCAGTTAAGTAAAACCGCGTAAGAAACTCGTGATCGAACGGCGTGAAACGAAAACTATCGGGCCTGTTTGATCGCGCATACGCCAAGTCGAAGGGAAAGGGTGGCCCTTATCAGCAACCGAACGAGGAAACTTCCTGCGGTTTTTAATATCTCGTCGTCGGTTCACTGAGGGTTTGATAATTCGTGAGAATTTGAGAGCAAGGATGATTACTTTTGAGAATAAAATAAGGAACACTATTAAAAAATGGTTCAAATAATTCATTTCGATCAAAGAATTTCTAATGACTTCCCTCGAATTCCCAAGGAGCGATTAGAATAATCAAGGATGTTCCTTTTTCTCTTTTCCACAGTGAAACAATTTTTCTATCGCTCCTCGAAATTATACGAAACACTTCTTGGTTTTACTTGGCTTCCGGAAGATTGGTGGCCATAACCCTGAACCCGTTATGGTCTGCCACGTAATGAACCTGTTGCAAGATCCCATTCGGGTCGATGTAACTATACGCGCCCCTGGTCGTCCCGTCCAACGATCTGGACTCGGTTTTCGCGCTCGAATCGCCGGTGTAAGTGTAATCGTATTGTCCCAAAGAGTCCTGAGTGTGATGGAGCGAGCTGTGCAGCAGTCTGTATGGCAAAACGGGAACCGCGTAGGGCGCCGAGACGGTGACGGGCCTCTGGACGCTGCTCAGGCTTACCAGTTGGCCCGTCTGCAAGGAATTCCCTCCATCAGTCTTCTGTTGACTGGACCGAATTGCGGACGTTGATGAAGAAGCAGCGGTCGTTGGAGGTAATACTTTGGCGAGATTAGGGTCCGGTTTTGGTATCTCGATCCTTTCCGCCTCGGAGCTCGAAAGGAGGAATGGATTCTTGGTAGTTTGCTGAAATAAGATGATGAGTTTAGCGGTTTCCGCGTCATCACCCTATAGTTTAGGCATAAAGATTGAAGGGTTAGAAATTACGTTTCTTCTAATGGAATTTCTTTATGCTCCTTTGTAAAACAGCGTTTCGTTTTAAACATCGCGTTTTATTTATTATTTTTACAACGACGTAGACATTTGAAGGTAAATTAATGGCGAAGTTTTGATATCGTCAGCGAACAGCGTTAACACCCCGAGCGTATTTACATAGAATAAGTTAGCGAGCTCGGTGTCGCATCGGAGATTCGCCAGCGCAAAGTTAATTTTTCTCCGAGAAGCGAGCTGTGCACCGAAATTACCGTCTGCCATGGTAATCAACGGGGTAAGTTCGTTTTTGGAAAATTAACCGGTACGTGAGCGGAAAGTTTCGCAACGTGCAAACAGAACTTCGCGGCCACCGATACGCGGGCGTTCCCAAGCCCCCACAGCCGAGATACGTATTCACCGCGATGTTAATAAAATGTGTAACGACGCAGGGTAAATAGGAATTTGCGGCCGCGAACGGAAACCACCTCCGTGGACCGATTCCGCGCGAATGTATATTACATAAAGCGACTGCTGTTTCCTGCAAGTGGTTGCACGTTAATAAAATCGAATCCCGTTCGGTCGACTGATTTTAGTCCGAACCCACTCGAAATTGTAAACGTTACGTATAATTTATAGAAGTATTCACAGGCTGAATGTACATTTCAGCGTTCGATTGATATTAAAAGTATTTATTTTAACACTACTAATTAATTAAATTTAACAAACATTATAGAAAAAGTCGAAAATTTGAGGAAAAATTGGAAGGAAAATTGCAGAAGGTTTTAGTACCTTCGGAAATAGCGTTAAATGCATTTTTTAAATTGATACTCTAAATGTTTCGTTTATACAGTTTAAATATACTCACCGCGATTTCGCGAACTGCCAGATTCTTCTCATCGTCTTTCGTTAGCTGCGCGAAACTGAAATACGAAGGGAGAATCTTGTAAGAGAGAACATGCGATTGGTCCCCTAATTGCGACCTCCGTAGTTCCTCCAAGTGGTTTCTCTTCGCCGCGGCCACTTCCGGTGTATCTTGAATAGTTTGAAGATCGTTCTTGGGTGGTTGCGGCAAATTACTCGCCCTCACTCGGAATCCGTTTTGGTCGTCTGCCGTGTAACTCACCGTTTGCAAAATCCCGTTCGCATCAATATACGAATAACCTGTGCAATTACAAAGGAACGATTAAAAGAACTCGACTTTGTTTAGCATTCAAAGAAATAAAAGATAGTTTATTTAAATGGGCAGTCAAGTATTTTCCACGTAAAAGGAAACGATTAATAAAATTGCAAGAAACGGATAGAACTCTCGCGCTTTTGCATTATTCGATGGGGCGTTTCACGAACGATGAATCAAACATCAATCGGTCGCTGCGCATACTCTGCGGTTGAAAGAAGAGAGGGACACGTGCATTGTTTAAAAGGCGAAGATGGATCTGAGCGCAGGGGCGTCCGTTGCGTCACATCGATCATCGTTTTCTAAAGTGGACGTGGGCCGCGTCTATCGCGAAATGCATCGCGCCAAGGTATGTATGCCATTCTCGAGTTTTGAGAAGTCATGCGACAGGTATGCGACCTGAAAATGAACTCGTCGATTTTCATCGAGTGGCTCATGATCGATAATCGCATAAGTAATAGAGAGTTGGCGGTAGTCGATAAAAAGAAATAATTGCTCTCGACTTAAACATTTTCGTGTTTCTCGGAAATAGGAAATTTTACTGGTAATCAGAAACGAGAAGTGAAACTCATTAACTTGCACAATGGCTACGTATTTTCCGACGCAGCGATTAATTTATTTCGCATCGTAAAAAATTTTCAGGAAAATCGTTACGCGAACACGCTCGAGTAATTAGTACACGATGATTAAAAGCTATGTCATTCACGCTTCGAAAAGTTTGTTAGAACACCATAAAAGCTATTACGTTATAGTATCTGTCAGTTCAGAGCGGATGACAAAAGCGATGTAAAAATTGTTATAAATAAAATATTGAATGGTGAAAAAGCGGCGATTACTTGATGTTCGAAAAAGCGACAACCGTAGCATAATAAATGCATATTTAAAAGCACATTAGCCGTTTACGATGCCACGAAGGCTTCACGGTTCGTCGCTGTTTCTACATGAAGAATTCACGCGCGTCGAGGGAAGGTAATTACGGCGACTTACCACCCTGCGTGATTCCGTTTAAACTGGATTCCGATTTCGCGTGATGCGGTCCCGTGAATGAGTAACGATATCCGCCGGATCCATCCTGTATGTGATACTGTCTTAACGGTGTTAACGAGCCCACGGGACTCAGCCAAACGTTAGCGATCGGCGTCCCGATGCTCCGTCCCAAAAAAGTACTTAGTAATATTATCTAAACAAACCAGAACATTTCTCTCGCTTTATCGAAAACTCGTCTTATTCCGTATCTATCAACAGCAGTTGCCGTTATATTTATTTGAATCTATGACACGTATGTATAATTTTCCATTGATCTGTTTCACTTTCGTTCTATGTAAAATGAAGATAGAGATCAATCCTTGACTCGCTTCTAGCCAGTGTAGAATAATATAGAGATCAACGATGGGTTGTCTATGTAGGACGACAGCGATGATCAATAACTACCAGTTATTTGCGTTTCGTGCAGAACGGTGTTCTTCATCACACGATTACTCATCGTCAAGATATTTACTGATCGACGGAAACAATTCGTCTGTTTTTCTAATCTGTTTCAATCTTAATCTTGGCGACGAGACCCTTAAGAAAAATTGAGTTAAAGAACAGGAGGCGAACCGACCTAATAAGAAGTCGAGAAGATATTGAGACGAGGAAAAGGGATCAGTAAGTTGAGTTCTCGTTTGACCAGAAGAAACCCACGGGCAATCAATTAACAAGAGGATTCGATTATCGATAGTTGGAGGGAGACCGGGACACGAGAGCTGAATGAGATCGCGAGCATTCCACGGAAGCAGTTACCAGCATTAATAGGGCGTCCCGCGTGAAACTTCCGTTCCGTCGCGTCGACGAACTTCCCGTTCCAGTCGTTGTCGTCTACCAACCTCGACGACTAGCACGAGCATCGGCCACAGCCAAGTTCCAAGCTTTCCTATGATTATTTTGCGGATTATTCGGGATTGTCGCTTGCACGTAACGAACTTTCCCGGAGCCCCTGCAACGCTTGGAACCTGTCACTCGTTAGAGTCTCATGTTCTTTGGAAACTTGCATTTTCTGACTTACACTTTAGTCACGAAATCAATTGCAAAATATTGTCACGTTCAAAATATTAGAGTACGATTTTAATTTATTCGATGTCCTCCGCCTCTAATCAGTGAATGAAATAAATAGCGTAGAGATGTTTAGAGATCGATTAAAACCACGGCTGCTCTTTATTCACAGAAAATAGGGAGAGCATCATTTGGAAAGAGGAATTCGTTTCGATACGCAGGGGGAGGTAGAAGTGAGGCTTCTTACAAAAGTTCCGGATCGATCTCGGAGACCGATTCACGCGAACTAATTGAGATTGCATTGTCAACGAGCAGCTTCGCAGAAGTTGGAAATTCGATGACACCCGTGACGAGGCTGGATTGAACTTCCCTTATTTACGCTTCACCGCTGCGGCACTCGTATCTCGCTGAGCTAGCGCGCACACTCTCCCTCGTAAGCTGCCCTCAAAACAACTTCTTTTTCATAAACGACATTTCATTTAACAATTATAATTGCAATTCCCATTCATTGGACGCATTACTAATTTGCAGAAATATTCTGACAATTTGTTCGAGTCTATTTTGAATGCAAACGATTCCTCGCAGATCTAATTTTATTCTTTCGAACCTAAATTCTAATTTGAAAATCTCGTTAAAATGTCACCAAGAGAAATCGCACAAGGCGTAATCCACTCACGAGTATCATGTTCGTGGTACGTAGGCCAGGCTGTCTAGTGGACCTCGAGACTGTTGAGTAGTTTCCGCGCGATTATTTTCCTGTCCACCCGCCGGTGATAATCTCGGTTGCGGCCTCCTCGGCTAACGGTTACGAGAGTGTGAGCTCTCGGGTACGTCCTCTTATATAGCTTAGCGCGCGACTGCGTCTCCCCACCATCGGTAACGCGGGACCGTCGAGGCCCTACGGGGCCCTACGATGCACCGCGAGGAATCGCAGGATCACAAATCACCCCGGGTTCGATTTCCAGGCCGATAAATCAATGTTTATTGGCCGTACCGCGAGGCGTCGATCTCGGGGGCATTCTAGACACGGGGATGCTCGTTTCGTGGCCCACCGCGTACGCGTCGCTCGTTCCATTCCGCCGCCACCTTTTGAACCCGAGTCGACTCGCGTTTCCTCCTCGACGCGCGAGGGAGCGGCGTCGTTAATCCACGCTGGTTCGTCTCGTGCGATGCCGGACAATGGCATGGGATGCTGTGCGACACGGATATGCGAACAGTTTCACAAAAGGCAGTGGATGATTTCAGGGTCCCGTGTCACGTGAAAGTGAATGATTAAGTAGAGTGACGAAAGGAAAAATGTAAGGGGCAACAGTATTACTCATTGTATTTTTATGATTTCATAAAACCTCGCGTTTGAACACCTACAAGCGTTATGCAAAAAGGAAAACAGCTTCTCAATGTTTGCATTCGATCATTCCTCTGGAATTCATACGTTATACAATTAAGGATCGAACTACGATAGGCTCTTCCGAGTAACATCTTCTTCTTAAGTAGAAAGTGCTATAATCGGTCAGACGTTCCTCGTGAACCTTTGGTAACGTCGATCTGAAATAAATTCTTCACCAGCGCTGACGTTCAAATCTCTTCGTAAAAAGACGATAAACGTTCGGAAGATTAATTTTGTGGAAAGGCTTCGTCATGTACCCATTACCCACGTGTATTATATATTAAATAACTTTGTACGTACGGCCGCGTATATCAAAAACAAGGAACATCCTCCATAGCTTGGAGGGTTTCCTCAGCCCCCTATAAACTACAATTCACCATGAAACGATCCAACTTTATTAAGCGACCCGCGGGTCACAGCTGGAGCGGCGAGATGGGTACGGCGCGTAACGACGCGCACCAGCCGCGCTCTTCGAGATCCCTCCTCGCGATCTCTCCGCTCTAAACCGTTGTTACATCCCAGCTGCGACGGATACGACGTAGGCCCGTTCGATACAGTCACGTTTTAGTGGGCAATGTCAAAAGCCGGCGACGCGAACCGCCCACGTGTCCCGCTGAAAAATCCTCGTCGGCGACTTGTTGCGCGTCCCGTGAGTAACGCCGATGGAATTGATGAACTCGTTACGCTCTCGCCTTACGCTCGTCGCATTAACCGCGCGGGACATAAATTTCCCCGACCTGGAGAGGGTTTTAGATCGGACATTATCCCTGCACACTTTTTCACCTCGTGTATATGCAGATTCTACAACCTCTTGCCCGTTTCTCCTAAAGAACGTGCTAATCTTTTAAGCATATTACGCGAAACTGCTGTCAGATTTAATTGAACGAACTTTGTTTAGAGAGATATTATGCAAAGTAAAGTTTGCAAGTACCGCACCAAGTAATAAGAATCTTACAAAATGAATTCTTCGGATTCTCTTTTCATCAACCCTGATGGTCCTTTTCTTTTAATATAAATCAGGTCCGTTCGATCCACCGTTTACTTATGAGAATCCTCAATTACTTCCAGTTCCAGTAATTGTCTTTCCAGCTCGTCCAAGCTGCTTTCGAAATTACGAGCTGGCAAAGATCGAAACCCGACTTCTTTATTGCGCACTGCTGCGCGGTTCGCTCATAAAACTTTCCGCCAGAAATAATCCCTACGCTGCGTGCCTCTTAACAATATTTTTTCTCCCCGTCCCGGCCTATCTGTTGCTCTCCCAGTTCCATTTGCGACGCACGCGAGTACATGCTTATACGTATACGAAATATGTATACGCGCACGTAGGCACGCGCACACGTCACGTTACGCAAAAATCTCCGACACGCTCGCCGCCGTTGGGAATTTGCGAAAATCCCAGTGAAACTTGTTGGAGCGTAAAAAAGAAGGTGGAAGCTCGTAAGTCAGGGAAAATACCTTCCTTCCCCGAGCACGGGATGTGATTCCATTTCACAACATTCTATATTCGAAGAGTCCCGCAAAATATACGCAGATATTTTCCGACTCTCCTTAGAGGTTCTTCTTTTGTGATACAATTTCTTCCGAATCTATTGACACATTCTTCCGCGATATCGTTTACCAATTCGATGGAATATTCTGTATGGGAACTCGCATGAAGTACGTGAAGTAAAAAATGAGCGGCTGCATAAAAGCAACGAGACGCGTGGTTTGAAGAAAAAGCCGAATACCTCTTCGAGAAGGGAACAAGCGATTTAACCCCCTCGGAAGATATTCGAGGCACCCTAAAAAATTCGCCGACAACGACGGCAACCCTCCTCGGCGCATTATTCCGTCGAAAAAATCAGCATACTTACACGGGAGGCACGCGGAGAGGCATAGCATTATTCGTCGCGGCAGAATCCTCCCGAGCGAGCGTCGTCGCCTCCTTTTACGGCGGCCGCGAATTTTTCTTGCCGCTCTCTCGCTGGTTTCCGTCGCGAAACAAACGTCGATTTCGACTGAACGCGAATCGATCACGCCGGTCCGCGGCACGGAAGTCGGCACAAAAAAAAAATTGTCGACTGATTTACGGAGAGAGATCGACTCGTCGGACGAATATTTTTCGTCCCGTCCCACCCAGCTCCTCCACCCCTCGCCGATGACCCGCCCGCTCATGCTCGCGCCCGATGATTTACGATTATTTCGAATAATACACCATAAATTCCGACGGCCCGCGCACGGTAAGGACCGTGAATGCGTTCGAAACTGATAGAAGAATCGATCATCCCCGGTGCTTCCTCGGTTTTTCCATGCGGTTTTTAACGGAACGAAGCTTCTCCAGTTGGGACGGAGAGCATTATGATGGATGGCAAATTTTCTGCTGTAATAATACGTACGAGTATGAATTTTTATCAAAGAGGAAGAATTGAGCAACGTATCTTTTCATCTCGAGTGGTGCTCATGGTGAAATATAAAACATGCTGGATTCATATGATGTAATATAACTCTCATACGTCGTCCACGTATAGTCACGTGAAAAAGGGAAACCGCAAGTGGTTCTTCTCTAAAGTGACTTCGTAGAATCTTGAACGAGGAGCTCGACTTAAAATTGGGGGTACCGATTGATCTTAATTGATCGGCGGTTAGGACCCGGGCAACCTTGCGGTTTATCGCGTTTAGTGAGGGTTCTCGGTGGGCGTCGGTGAAGAAAAGTTCGCTCGGGTAGCCGGGTCCAATCAGCAAATGGAATCGTTAGTTAGCCCCCGGTAATCTCGCATCGGACGCCAGCGTTCCGACTTGTAGTACACACGATCGGTACACGAAGAGAGGAGTTCAACAATCGTGATTCACGATCGAGTTCGCTAGAGTTCGGTCTGTAGCTTTTATCGTCCGGACTTACTTTGGGCCTAATTAGTAGCGCAGTTCTAATTGCTCGGTCGCTCGATCGATCCGCGTGACGATTTAGCGAAAGTCAACAGGGAAATTGAGTCTTGATAAAACCGAGTCAATCAAACGATTTTACATACTTCTACGTTCTTACATGGAACAGGAATAAAATCATACCTTAAGGAAAATTTGTTATTATAATTTTTCAATATACAATAATATATTCGCGAGGATGTAAAGACGAATCATTTCGTAGAGGACTTGATTTTCAAAACACTTCACGTAGCACATCGTCGCGTGGGCGTTTTTATCAGGTGGAAAGGGCACGAACACGAGTTTCATGTTAATTCTCGTTCCTGGATAATGGATTAATTGCAAAAATGACAGCTGCCCTTTTCGTGCCACCTTTGAGAGCAAATATAACTCGCACGACTTCGCACTGGAATTGAAGTTCATATTTCTTAACAAAAAAAAAAAAAAGGAACTGGGCGTGGGAAATCGTTATTCCGTTCCATGTTATAGAGCGATGAGTTATCTGGTTCGCGTTCTCGCGAAGCGTTTTATCAGAGGGACCGAGAGCTAGACGTTTCTATTATCGCGAATGCGAATCGTCGTTCCTTTCCGCCTTCGTGGTCGGGCCATGGCTGTCGCTGAGCACCATAACATTCTGCTGCCCCGTAAAGTAACAGTAACCGGTCGGAGAAAAATGACGACCGTGGAGACAGGCGCGCCAGCCTTCTCAATGCCACGCACCTTTTCAAAATAATTTCACGCTACAGATCTCTCCAGCTCTCTGGGACCACCAAATTAACGATACTATAATAAGACAATTGATTTTCTCTGTTTCATTGATAATGACAATATGAAAAAGATAGACGCTGTATCGTACCAACTGAACTGTTAATGGAAATTGGAAGTGGGCGTGAAAATACACGTGATTTGTATATTGAAGAGAAGGTTGTACGGTCGACATATATATGTTTCGCACGATTTTGCAATATGCAAAATCGATTATTTTGATAGTGTCGATGCAAATGTTACTACCGTGATGTTTGAATTGTAAACAGAGAGGCGAAAGAGAATTCTGGTATTGCTATCAGCTGACGGCAAGTGTTCTACTCACGTGGGATGAATTAGAGCGACGTAGAAATATTTGAATATGGAAATCGAAACATCGTTGTATAATTAACTGCAATATCAGTGTTTCATTCAATACCGAGAGTGAGTCAATAATGAATAAAATTGAAAATAAACAAGTCGTAAGGACAAGCCTAGGATTAAAATGATGAATGAAACTGAAACGAGAGAAAGAAGGGAAGTAATATCAATTTATTAAGAGGGATGAAAGGAGGCGTGACAGATGTAAAGGGAACGATAATGAGACGATTCCCGAGGATCACTGGGTTGTAATCTATCGGGCTTTCCGCGGCTCGTTCGTCACGGATACGCCCACGCGTTCGCCGAGAGAGAACGGGTTCCATGTGCGAGGGCGAGCGGTGTGTTTTACTCGCGGGACCGCGGGCTTCGCCGCGCGTATTAAGAGATACGCGCGAGATACGCTTCGGGCCACCTCTAATCGCGCCGCCGATCTCGCGCGAGTTCCTTCACCCTTCACCGTGCACTTGACTCTCGGGCCTGGAAGGTGATCCGGATTCTTCGACTCTTTTTCTCCCGTTCAGCCCCCACCACCTCGTGGAAAACTCGATTTCTCGAAACCGTTTCGTAACTTTTGAGTGTGCGACGCTAAAGACCGAACGAGGTCGTCGTGGTTCGAGTTTACGTTGCCGGCGATTGCCGTTGAGAAATCCGTTCCCAGTTCAGTTATCCGTCGGTGAATGGCAATAGGAAAGGGTTGAGCGTTGAAGATACGCGTAATGAAAGGCATAAACATCGGGCAGAATGGATAATCCTTTGGATTCATAGACGGTGGGAAACGATTGTACACCTGAGAAAAGTCTGAGGCTCCGTCTACTCGGCATAAAACCGTGGATTCAGTATCCTCAGAATCCGGAACCGCGCCTGGATTCCGTGGCAGTTGGGACGGACAGCGATTCGCTTCGGGAAGAAAACGAGGAGAGCACGATCGTATAGAGCCCGGGATTAATCCGACGTCCCACTGGACACGCGCGAGCCGCTTTAATGCCGTAATATATTCCCGATAATGGGAAGCCGAACGGCGTTCAAGGTCAAGGGTGTGCGCGGCGTTCTCCCATGGGAACCCCGCGAGTCATGGACACCGCGGAGGGAAACCTTCCTGTTTCGATACACCAAAAGAAAACGCAAGAACCGAAGCGAGGCAGTATCAAATACGACGACTGGACACGCGATCATTCTGTTTCCGACAGGTCAACGACCGCCGATTCTCACAGACGCACCAAAGAAATGACCATGCATAGAATTTTGACGAGCCGAAGGTTGAACTGTTCTACAAAGTTTCTTTCTATCTCGGATAAAATCGTTGGGAATCGTTTGAGAAAAGCTCGAGAAGAATATTGATTAGTTTACTTAATTAGGAATGCGGGAATTCGTAATACTTTTGTACTGCGCTGTGTCTAAAAATTCCGATCAGGGAACAGGGTACATAGGACGAAGAATAGAAATCAAATTACATAGATATAAATTTATTTTTATTGTCGAGCATGAACGGTGAGCAATAATTTAACAAATATCGTTGAAGCGATTTCCGATGCAGAGAATGGAGAAGGCGATGAAGTAGAAGTAAACGTTGTGCGCCAGTAGAACGAGCTGTCGACCGACTCGCGATCGAAACTCTCGCTCACAGTTCGCCACGACCGATCATCCCGAAGAACGCGCTCCCGTCGAAAGCTTTTTCGTCTGGATCAGAGGTCGCAAGTGTATCCCCAGATATTTACCCGTCCGTTTTCCAATAACCCGTGCAAAATCATTGAAAATCAATTGACGACCTAATGAAGATACAAAGTATGTATAGGGACATTGAGAATCGGTTGCAGATGAGCGATGGGTGCAGCAGTCTTGAATAGGAGCGTGGGTTCGAGTTTCGCGTTCGAGCCGTGAATCTGACTGATACCGTGACTAGAGATGGAAGTGGTCACCGTGGCTGTGGCGAGATTAGGTAATTCCTTGGTCAAGCTCTCATTTTTCTCGGTACCAATCAGGGCGACAGGAGTACTTTCCTTGGCGATGACGCTTGGGATAGCCACAGCTTCCTGGGCTCCGTGAATTTGGCTGACACCGTGACTGGAAATCGATGTGGTGACGGAGGCGGTACCAATTTGAACGGCTGGCAGAACGGGGACAGCTTGTTTAGCGACGACAGGCACGATGGGCAGAGATTCCCTGGCGACGACGGTGGAAGCAACGGGAATAGCCTGGATAGACGGGGACTGGACGATGGTCAGTGGTTCGGGATCTATCTTGACGGCGTCTTTCGGCTCGGGTCCCTCGATACCGAGATCCTTGTGCAGCTCTATGCGATTTTCATGGTAAGTGGGCGCCCGAGTCAGCACCGGCAACCCGCTCAATATGGTATTCGTAATCTGCAGAGGCTGGATCGGCTGCAGGTCGACCGGTTTCGCGTCAGCCTCGACTTCCGTCAAGTCCAACCGCGTGTTCTTATGCACTTGAACTTGACTCTGGTGCGAGGTCGCCAAAGGGATGCCGTCGGCCAACTGCACGGGTTCTAGCAGAACCTCTTTGATATTCTCCTGCGTGCTTCTCTTAGTTTTATGGAGATTCGGGTCTGACTCCGTGCTGCGTCTTCTGCGATTGGATCTCGAGTTCTCTTCAGCGTTCGCGCTCCTCGCGAGGATGATGTGGGCCGCCTCCGCATTTACATTGTCGTCCGAAGGCAGATTCGTCGCAGCTACGCGGAAACCGTTTTCGTCGGCGACGTAGAACGCCGACTGGAGTATGCCGTTGGCGTCTATGTAGCTGTAGGAACCGCGGAGGACTCCGCTCGCGTCTTTCACTTGCTCCTGGGCGGAAGGACCACCCGCGTAGCTAAAAGCGTGCTCACCTGTTCTCGTGTTCTGATATTGGTGATACACCGGGATCGGGCTTGATAAGTATGCGTATGGCAAAAGACTCAGTCGCGCGCCCGAAGCTACGCTCAAAACCAGGATTAGTGGAATCTGGAAACAAATTGGCGGCTTCAGTCTCTCTCCACTTGAGACAGAATTGAAAATTATAATTTGCATAAAAATTCATGCGTCAGACCCTTCAGAATTTCGACAAAAATCTGCATAAACGAATAGAAAAATGTTGCACTCCGCGGAATATTTCGTCCCGGACGAAATTGAATTTGCGAAATTCCTGTCAGTCTCGACACCGCGAAAAGTAGATCTCAGGACAAATCGTGACTCTGAAATCCTCTCAAGGTTGACGATTCGGCGGTCGAATTTTACGAACGAAGTATTCTCGACGCGTCGAAGGGGGTTGGTTTATACTTGCATGAGGCTTGGGATCCAGCTCTCTTTACGATCCAATAAGAAACGAACGAGTGGCCGCACGGCTAGGAGCAGCCGATGAAAACGAAAATGCTCCTTATAGATCCACGTTCCTCCCGACTTCGGATCGGAGACCGTCGTTTCACCGTGAAACTTGAGTTTAGTTCAATCAGAATGATCGCTGTTTTTTCAAATTTTCGAGAGTCTCAGCTGAACCGATAGTAGAACTCGCGATTTTTCTAACAACGCTTAGTTCTCAAGAATTGATTATGTAGATAACACCGGATATTAGCCTGAAGGATAAAATTGCGGGGATGTTACTTACCAGAAACTTCATCGTGTCGTTCGTTTAGCGTGTTCCTGCGAACCTCCTTGCTCGACGAAGGACTGTTCGACCTGTGCACCTTGCTTCCGATCTGGTTTTGACTTATATACATGGCGGAGGGGACGAGCGAGCCGGCGGCGATGTCTTCGAACCAGGAACCAGCGGAATCGCCGAAGGACAAGGCGGATCCGTTCACCGAATACTCGGAGACGCGATCCCTTGATCCGGGATCCGGCATCCTATGCCACGCCCTCCACTTCTTCATCGCCCTTCTTGTTTCTTTTACATCATTTTTCCTATTTTCTCCCACCACGTTGGACAGAAACTAGATTCGTGTTCTCTTAAACGGGACACTGAAGCTTGCTTCATACTCAAATATTTTTCATTCATTAAGAACAATGACATCGTGTAGAAGATTAATTTTTATGGACTGCTTATTAAAATTCTCATATTAGTAATTATATGATCTACATTGCTTGTGGAAATAATTTGAATATAATTACAATTGCAATCATGAGTCTTTGTCAAAGGGGACTAATTAAGGCCATTAAATCGGCCGTGTTTCATTTCTTTATTCGACCCAATGTCGCAACATTCCTCCTGTTCCCTTTCGTGTAAAGGTTCTCCCGCACAATGGGGCACGTGATTACGTTTCTCGTTGCCTTTCGCGGCAACAATTCGACCGGCCTTGATCGTACCCCGCGGCTCGGTGAAATTGTTCGGCTGCCCGTTGCTTTTTTCCCGGGATCCTCCCTTGTCGCGGTAAAGTGGCCGCGCCAAGGTCGCGGCTGGCTCCCGATGACCCGGATGTGGCCAAGTCAAATGATCGCGATTGTCCCTGCTCCGGAGTGGTAATGGCGACGAGGTGCGAGAGGAATTATTTGTCAGTGTCAGTCGGGAGAGCCGAGTAAATTGTATCGCGATAGCTTTTGATGATGCAGGCGGCTTGTTGCTTTCCTTGATAAATCCTTGAAGATTTAGAATGAGGGAACGTATGGACATAAGAAATTGATGAACATGTTATAAGATAATTGCAATACGCAAATAATATTAATTCGTGAAGAAATCGTAATGATTTCTCCTCTTCTTCTTTGTTGATCGGATGCCCGATATAGGCACGGATGTTCAAGCCTACGTCTATCGAAAAACAGAGCACGTTCTGCAACTAGCAGCGTACCCGGTCTCTTAAGGAGATTCCCGGCATCTGGTCATCGTCCTGGAAGTTAGCGTGTAACTTTGTGTAGGCGACGCTGGCCATTCTGTGGGTCCGCAGATATCGGGGCCCGATCACCTTGATGGCCGTTTGTTCTCCAGCTACCGAGAATCTACCAGGCACGCACGTAGGAAGTGACAACACTCCTTCGTAGGCGAGCTTCGCCCGGCAAAAGCGTGGATAATCAAGGGAATAGATTCCTGTCTACGCAAGATACCCGAAGCCAAGAAAGGGAAAAGAAGATAAATAAGGAAAAAAAGACGAGAACAATGTACGTACAGGCGTGATAATCGTGGAACCGAGAACCGTGAAACAACGCGTGAATGACCGAGGCGAGGTACGATGTACCTTTGCACTTGAACTTTTAATTCTGTTTATCGTTACGAAATTAATAAAAAAATAGCAATTTAAACATGAGTGGATGCTGATTGAAATAACTATATAGATTATTAGAGAAGGGTTGAATTTGATTCGGCACGTAATCAAACGCATTTCCGTCGTCGCTACGAAAAATGCTAATTGCGATTTATTGATAGTAAGTGGAGATCTGGAAGTTATTGAAAGGAATTAATTTCATTCCACCGAAAAAAAGTTGAAATATTAATTAGTTATATTTATTATTGATACCCCATGTATACATGAAATTTTTGTATAAAACAATATTTATTCTTGCAATGATATTTTTATATATAAATTCATTAATTCAACGAACTATAAGAGTTGATATTCAAACCACAACGAGGTGATCTCCGCGCGATCGTGAGCGCTTATGGTTCCCAACAGAACTCGTTACGAACTTATAGTGCCAGCGAAGCTTAGAATTCCAACGTGAAGTCGCGGCCAGTAAAGCGTTTTCGGAAAAAATCCTGGAAGCCACTCAGACCACACCCACGCCTCCCAGAGATCCGGTCACATATTTGCGGAGGTCGCCTTATGTCGTAAACAACATAAACATAATACAGCCGAGCCGATGGACCACACCCGGCGTGCATATGCACACACGTGCGGAGGTAGATTCGCTATCGTAACAAGAGTCTGGAAGCATCGGTCTTCGCGTCTGAACAAAAATAGAATTAAAAAAAGAAGTAAGGAAGATAGGAAGGTGCAGAGGAATAATCGTCCTCTCGATAAGTTCCTGGATCGAAATAAATCTTAGGGAGACGTTCGTGTGACGTTTGAAACATTGCAAGCGCAGAATCTTCCGCGTTACAAAGTTGGAGCGTTTTATTTGGGTTTGACATGGAATTTGTGAAGAATGAAATTTGTCGTGATTGTAATAAGAGAGAATTTACAAGAATTTATTTAAAGCGAAGCATGTATTTTGTTGTAATGTTCAATCGTAGTACTAGAAGCGTGATTCAGGTCTCCTCTGGTTCGATTCGTAGATGTAACACTTCCATTCCTCTAATCACCGTCATTCGCAGAATTTTACATGTTTCCATGGCTTTATAGATAGTGGCGGAGGACACCACTGGTTCGTCGTTAACATGCGTTATAATATCTCCAGCTTGTAAACCACCACTTAAATTAAAAAACAAAAACGATTTTTTATTTGATGTGAAGCCGAGGGAAAATGGAGGCTTTAATTTTCTCGTGCATACATGTGAGCTGGTGATCCTACGAGCACTTTGTAGATAACAACTCCGTGTCTGATGTTATGCGGAATTCCTTTCAATTTCTTTTGCAATTCGTAAAAAAGATCCGGCGTAAGGCTCAGCATAGTGACGCCGATGTATTGAGTCTTGCGCGTCTCCGATGCACTCCGTGCACCTGGCATAACGTTTCATTTTACGATTTTTGTACACGTTCTCCCTATCGTTCTTTACCTTTAAATGGTTTACCTTTGCCCTTTCTGCGTAGTTCTGCTTTCTTCAAGAATTCCTTCGCATGGTCTATAGGTATGGCAAAAGATATACCAGACGTGACTTTCATTGCGTTTATACCTATTGCTTCCCCATTTAAATTAACTAACGGGCCACCTGAATTTCCGAACTAACACAACAACAGTATTGAATAATAATGCATTTAGTGTAAGCTCAAATATTTATAAGGAGAAACTAACAGTGATTGCTGCATCTGTTTGGATGTAAGCCATCTGCTTGTTGAACAGACCCAGTTCTTCACTGTGTCTATTGACACTGCTTATAACTCCACTCGTTATTGTATTACTCAAAGCAAGTGGAGATCCAATGGCAACAACAAATTCTCCTGGCCTGAGGTTTGAAGAGGAACCAAGTTTCATTACAGGCAGATTTGTCTATACAAAAAATGTACACGTCTATAATATTAAAATGTAGACGGATGTAATCACTTTTAAATTATATAGAAACCTTGTTAATTCGCACAGTTGCAAGATCACTGTGTACGTCAATGTCCTCCACAGTGCCAGTATACATACTTCCATCATTAAGACGTACCTGCGAAATAAATTGCATAAAAACTTCTAAAAGGACACACTTGTTATCAATCTCCATAATACAAATTATGTTTATTGGAAAATATCCCATCGGGTACCTTGACAGTAGTGTTAGGCTTAGTTGTAACGACATGAGCATTTGTGAGAATCAACCCATCTGCTTCGACAATGAAACCAGACCCATTACTTATGTTAAATGGTTTACCTGTATAAAAATCAAGTCTGTTTTCTCATTAATGATTGCTGGAGATTACGTCAGGGTTGCATTCTGGGTATTTACGATAATCTGCATACAATTACCTCCTGTTGTTCTGAATTTCGATGTAGACTACAGCAGGAGCTGATACTTCCACAACATCTGCTATAAAATTATATCTATTCCTATTATTGTTATTTCCCCCATCCCAGGAGACCGCTTTAGCGTGTATCGTGAACACAGAGTCCTTTAAGTTCCTAAATCGGTTCTGATAATCATCTTTCCATTTGTACAAAATATAACCAAAACCAGAGACGAAAACGGTGTAAAGCAAGGCATTCCGGACGGTCTTGCCGAGGTATCGCGGCTTCTGTTCCTGCGAGTACGTATGTTTGTATCGTGGAAAACAATTCGAGGACGAGGTCGTTAAGAACTGCTTATACTGGAACTGATTTTTTTTTAAAACGGTCCAAGATATACGTGTCAAGGGGACAGCCATTTTCGGCCATTTTTCAATCCCTCTAATCGTGCCCAATCAGAGATCACCCGTTCAAACGTGAGTATCATGCGCAAGTGTTCATATCGTTCCACAAAACTTTACAAGAAAAGTTATTAAAAGCTCAGTGTTTTGACAAATATTGTGAAGAAATGTGACGCTGCATCTCTTCTTTAAGTTTTTCGCACGAATTGCAGACAAGAACGAACGTAGTTCACTCTTGAATACGAAGTTTACGTTTCGGGAATAACTGCCAGTGACCGCCAAGCTTCCCTTCATGGAAGACGCTATTTATTAGTCGTTTACATTGCAAAATACTACGACTAGTACCACCGTGGAAGTGCATCAAATATTCTTGGAAGAATCACGGTATTTAGAAGAGAAATTCACGTAAGTCAAATCTCTATCACTTTCTTAGACAATGTATTTGATGTACAGTTATCTTGTCCAGTTTGAAACTTGCATGGGAAACACTTAAGTAAACGAGATCTTTTTATGAAATGCGCATTATATTAATAAGAAATCTTATTTACAACGTAAAAATATGCTTTGAAAAATATGAACAGAGATGGTTTATAAGGAATCACGTTTATCTTCTTTTCTTTTACTCTTTCGTTTTTGCAATGCCGTTCGATGTACTGTGTAGTTCCGCTTTGTGTTTCGTCCTCGAAGATTTAGTATTTTTCAAGAGTTTTACGTTAATCTCGGAGTTTTTTTCTAACTTATTCTTCATTGAAGTTTTTGGTTCTCTATCATCGGATTCGCGAGTACTGTCCATCTCTTTCTTTACATTTTTCGCTAATTTCTTCTCCTCAGTAGCTTTACGTTTGTTAGATTTTTTTGCCTTCGTTGTATTTGTACCAGATTTTTCGCCTGTATGTTCTGTAAATAAATGAATTCGATATATTATCACATCGTTAACAATTAAAACTATAAACTTACATACCAGGTTCGTTGTCATTAGATTTGCGAGTGCTGTCGACCTCTTGCTTTACGTTATTCGTTAATTTCTTCTCAGTAGCTTTACGTTTGGTAGCTTTTTTACCTTCCGTTGTATTTATACCAGATTCCTTTTTTGTATGCTCTATACATAAATGAATGCGGTATATTATTATATTGCTAACAATTGAGACTACAAACTTACATACCAAGTTCGTTGTCATCGGATGTGAGAGTATTGTCCACCTTTTTTTTCTTTATGTTATTCGTCAAAATCTCATTAGTAGCTTTACGTTTGTTAGCTTTTTCTACTTTTATTGCATTTATTTCACATTCCTTTTCTGTATGCCCTGTAAATAAATGAATTCGGTGTATTATTATACCGCAAACAATTGAGTCAATGAACTTACATACCGGGTTTATTGCATTTGTGGCAGTTTCCAGAAACTTTGGGCTTTTGTCCACACGAATGTTTTGTTATGGCACATCTATTGCAAATAGAACAGTGTTTCCAATATGGTTTAACACACCTTTTACAAATATTGCAGTGTTTGTATGTGAGACCATTTTTCGAGGTGCATTCTTTGCATTTCTTACAATGCCTATTCTCTCTGGCGACCCATTTCTCACAATTTCTGCAATATTTGTAACCACTAGCTTCTGGAAGCTCAAACAAATTCAACGGTACATTGGTGAAAATTCTAATGGGTGACAACTTGGCACTATTCGAATCCGTTACGAATAGAGTATGATTTTCATAAGACACTTTATAATCAGTCATTCTCAGGTCCTTTAAACCTCCAGATATGCCCGGTGGATTACTTTTCTGTCTCATTATAGATTCCATGAAATATGGAAATATAAATAGAATTTTCAAACAATCACTTTCATCCTCTATATTATTCCATTTCTTGTGCAAATCAGAAATTCTTTTTAAAGTCCAAGACATCGCTTCAACCCTGGCACCGAATGGTGGATCACATATCAGATATGTGTCTTTACCTCTGTTCTGTGTTAGAAAATCTTTAAATACGTGAATAGCATTTTCGTCGAAGAAGTGATTATTCATTAGATTGTACCAACAATAATTTAAAGGTCCGAAAAAATTGTGCTGCAATAGAGATGTGACTTATAATATTTATTAAATCTTAGTGTATTTGTTGAATGTATAAACGAACTTACAAATCTAGCATCAAAGTCTAATAAAAGTGAAGATATTTTATCTTCATGATTCTCTAAAATGTATTCATGGATTTTTGGAGTGCCAATACACAATGCTTGTTTTGCATTAAGTTTTAAGAGTATATTCACTATGTCTTCTGTCGACTGCTTTGTAAAAAAGTATTGAGCCTCTTGTTTACTGTTCTCTAGAGGTTTCAGAATTTCTGTTGGATGCTTCATCTCATAATCTGTAAGACCTTCTTTTAAATCATGACCACTGTGTTTCGTCAAATTATCCTTCTCATTTTTTAATACCAGTTGTTCACAAGTGTGACAATAGAATCTCTTGTCTTGGGCTAATCCCATTGCCACATTCAATCTTAAATACAACGGTCTGTGATGATAACGAGACACATATTGTTTCGTTTCTCTTTCCCATTGGGAAATCTGGTTTTTCGTTAAATTCTGTCCAGCTTTTAAATAAAACCGACACATTTTTCTCTCACGGCAAGCAGAACATGCATAGAATTTCTCCAATTTGCCCTTTGCACTCGTGCCAAACAATATAGTCGGCCCTATACAAACGTAATAAAATCGTGAATATTTTCTACACATTTATATCATTAACAAATTCTTTATATGAAGAATTACCATGTGGACATCGAGGATGTTTACTTAAATCAGACCAAAAACATTCCATGTTTGATTATTAATTAGAACAGAGCAGTAAATGATTAAAAGGTAATACTTTGCATCGGCAATTATGCGTCCTTATGAAAATATTTTATTCGTCTTGTTACTTCATGAACTATTTGCTCGCGGGAAATTATGCACTGTCTAAGTACAGAACAGTTGTTCTCGGGAATCAAAACAACCACCACGTGACACATGTGCTTTGGACCAGTTGGTCAGTGACGCGAAGTCGGTAGATTATCGAAGAGCGTCCGATGTCCGATTCTTAAAAAGCACACGGTTTGAACTTCGTGCCAGTAACGTTCCCGCGTTCGGTACTGTGATTGAATCGTAATGGACGCAAGTGTTAAAGTGCTGTGCCTCTTTTTCAAATAATTGGGATATTATTTGGACCGAAGATACCTCTGAACGTGCGTAGATCAAGGCGGAACAGCTCCTGCTTCAAAGTAAGTAAAAATTTTAGAATATAATGCATGATTTTATCGAAACTGTTTCATTCGGAATGGAATGGGCATATTAGGTCGTCGACTTGCATACTTACGAGTTTATTGTCAAACAAATATAATATGCTAAGAATTTCGCTTCGAATGAAAGGAAAAAGCATTTATGACAGTTCATTGCGTTTTATTGCAACTTTCTTTTTCTACAATCGCTATGTTGCTTGCCGTATCACATGTATATATATATGTATATATATACGTTTTCGAAAAAGTAACTGCTAATATTTTTATATATATAAGGCAATTTAAGCCTCTACAGGCTATAAACATCTTTTCGTGCGTTGTTTTGTCATCATTGTAACGTCCCTATCGTAAAAATACAGATAATAATTACATCGTGTAATGCATCATCGCATATGTTACAAATACTCGAATGCACAACTTTAATTGGACCATAGGTTTACATATGAAAAAACGCGAACAAAAAATATATAAATCCTATTTTTTCCGGTAATATTTGCAATACTGTGTCGATAAATAAATATATAAAATTATAGATGGATCTCTTTAGAGTTACGTATTACATACTGAAAGTATAGGAGTCGGTCGGATATTCTATTAATAAATAATAGAGGGGCATAAAACTCGCGCGTCGATCTTCATTCCTTTCACGTTCTTATTTAAAGCATCTCTAAACGATCTACAGAATTGACACACCTTTTACTATTTTTTACCTTTTTTTTTTTAAATCGTTTTCAAGCTGTGTTTATTCTGCTAGATTATATATCACAGACTATCCATTTGCAGTTGGGAAAAAACATTCACTAGAAAAACTCTTGCAAATACATACTTCTACCACATGTTGGTGCATCTATGAATATTATAGTGATTAAAAATTAAGTAGTTTACTCTTACATTATATACAAATGATCAGCTATTTAGATTTGCAAACACTTGTTTGGTCTAAATCATTATCATACATAGAGTGTTAAATAGCAACTTGTAACTTCCTCTTTTTATAATGAATATATATGTATATATGGAGTATGTATGCATATTTTTTCTAGACAATTAAGTGTAATATACATAATACTGCAATTGTGCAAGTGTACGAATACTGTGATTGTTCTCTTTCTTCTTTTGAAATCATTAATGTTTTGTATGGTTGCTGGAAAAACGTCTTTCCTCTTGTATATTCAAAATAAATCTTCCTGTAGTTCATAATAATTTAAATAATTCTAAAGTTTTACTCTCGCAAGTTCTTTGTTGTAAAATTTCTCATTTAAACTTTACTATCAGTTTACACGTGGTGAACGTATCTTTCGAGATCGTGTTCCGATCGTCGGATTCATTTTGCTGTTATGTACTTTTGTTTTTTTTTTTACACTAACGTGAAACAATTCTTCGTATATACATAATTGACTACAAAGCTTCTTGGTTTAAGCTTGCTGCATAAACAGATTTCCACTCTATGTGCCTCTATACAAACGTGCCACGTACAACATGAATCTAAAAGTTTACAAAATAGAAAACTAACAACATATGTTACAATGGAACGCAATTAAAGTTCAGAAAAATTTGATTATGCAGCAAGCATAAGAGCTCCCGAGAATGCTTGGATTAAATTTCATTTTAAAAGCATACACGATTATTTTTCGCTTTTTTCCAGTTCTTCGTAAATCCACGTTTCTAATATCTAAATGCAATGCTAGGATTCGTTTTGGTAAAATCCATACAAAGGCTGGTGTAATGAAAATTTCATATAAATACGCCGAAAGCATTTTTTGCGAATAGTCAGTTCGTGTAGGCGTCAAGAGCACGTCGGCTCTGATCGATGTAGAGTAATAGAAAACGCGCAAATGGATTTGCTGTAGATTAAATATTGACAACATTGTACTTTAGGAAGTGACTTTTCTTCACACGTGAAAGAATATGTGTAAATATGTAGTAAATAGAAAGGATCTCAATGATTATTCATTATTCTTTATGCAGTGTTTTTGCTAGCGAAATGGCAGTAATTTAAATTGAACAACTAATCAAAATATGTCGAACACGTGCGAACTTTGGATTAGAAAATGCTAATGATAACGAAAGAGATTTATTCAGAAATTTCCAATGGAAAAGTACTTGTAAGTCGCGTGACTCTTTTACTCGGGTTATTCGCTATGTAGACATTTAGATTCGGAAACTATCTTCGAAAAGTTTACAATGCCATTAATTTCGACTGACACGAACCCCATCTCTCCTGCAATTTTTGACGTTGCTCCATGTGATGATCTGAAAGGTTCCTCGATAATCCTACTTGACCTGTTTTCAATTTCCTGGGGTCTAAATTTGCCCCCAGCGTTTGCACGCCTTTAGCGAATTTCGAGAATGGCGAGAGAATATCCTTGGTGGTAGATGCCACGGGATTCGAGACGTGCGTTACGTCGGTCTTTATCGATTTCAGAGCGGATTCGCTCTGGGAAGAAGTGATGCTAAGAGTTAAGTCTTGTTCCGACGTAGACCTCTTCTTATCGTGCAATCTGCTCTCCGTTTGCAATTTATTCCTATCCGAACTAGTAAGTATTAGTTTACTGTCGACCGCTCCGGTCGAATGACTGATATTTTTCGAAAGGCTTAACGATGACGGTGGGAGGAGCATCCTTTCCTTGTCCTCGGTCGTGTTTTGTATAGTTATTTCTGGCGTCTTTTGTGGAGAGGTACTTAAAGAACCACTCGGTTGCGGTACGTGCAAGTCACTCTTGCTCTCTTCGGACAGCTTGTTAGGTCGCATCGACGAGCTTCCCTCTTCGCTGTCTTCAGTATGCACTACGTCTGCATTTTTCACGCCCATTATGATGCCAATAGACGGAGTGTAAGCCTCCATCAGATTCTTATCATGAATGAAGTTATCTGGCTTCTCTAGAGGACCTGCAGGCATACCGATGTCCTCTTCGTCGCTGCTGCTACTACCGCTATTACTTTTCCCTTGCACCGTGCCTAAAATATCTCTATTTCCCACGGTGAAGGTAGGCTTGGAAGGTCCTCCTTCCGACCGCCTACCTATGCTCTTAGCTATGTCGATCGGGTTTCTGGCGCTAAAGCTATGACTCAACTTATTCAGTTTGCTAAATTGTTCCGACATGTTGCTCAAAGCTTTCGTTCCTACAATCAGAAGATATCGTGAGAGACATTAACTCCTATAGAAATACGATTCTTCTGTTAGAAATATACCTGCACTTTTAAGAGCTAGTAACTGCGTCTCCGAGACGTTCCTAGTCAATTCTGGGAATGACGTGATATCCAGGAGACCCGTGGTGGTTCCTCTACTGTTCACTAACTTACTCTTCCGCTTATCTAAAGTGACGTTCATCGCTATAGGAATCTTTGGTAGATTGGCTATTTCCAGCGCCACCGAGATAGCTTCGCAGATAGATCTTAAAGACTCTGCAACGTACGAATTAACGTGGTATCTAAAGTCTAGCAAACTGATCAACGAATATTACGTCCTACCTATACTTTCTTCCTCGGTTTTTATGACGACTGCCATGTTATTAAAAAACCGTAAGTTTGTACTGCGGAACATATGGAAGTAGCCGCACTCGTTTGCCATTTTGTAGTTTATTCGAATGCAATGGAACTGTTTGTTTTTGAAAAGGGAAACCGTGCTCTCCGGTTGACCGAACTCGATTAGCACGATATCCTCGAGCGGTACTCTTTGATAGTTTGTAACTTTGTCGATTTGGTCGTCGTAATCGGCGACATAGTAACTGTCCCGCGTTAATATAAGAATAGTGTCCATTTCAGTCTCCGTTAAGTCACCCGTTCTATCGGAACGAACCAAATCGTAAGAAATTATTCTCAGCCTTTCGGGGATTGAAGAGATTAAAAAGAAGACGTGTAACGTACACAGGATCAGCGTCGATTAGACCCCAGCTGCCTAAAATTACTTCTGGGTCTGGTATAAGTAACTTCTTGCAATCCTCAATCAGCAATTTCACGTGAACCGCTGTCGCGGCATTGTCCTCTTGTTCCTCGGTGCGCTCTTGAAACACTTCTTCATTTACCGAATTTCCTAACATCATATCGATCGTGGCCTGCCTATAGACATCCTTGAAGCGATTTAAATAGTATCTGAAAGAACACATATCTCCTAAGCGCTCGCTTCTAAGCGGCCAAGCGAAGATAAGAAAAAGAAATGAAATATTAAAAGTGAAGATAGAGCATTGTCGTAGTGTTGATGGGACCGGAAAATAAATGGTTTTCTTCCTTTGTTTCGTTTGAGATTAGTCGAACTGAAAGACAAGCCGTCATGCAACATAGAAAAGATAATCACGTGCAAACACGAATTCCGATTCATTGGGTTCAAATAATCGTTCGCATTTGGATAAAACAATACAATTGTCTTAGTAGTTTTGATAAATCACACATTTTATTGACCGTTTACTCGTGAGCGGACAGCCTCCGAGCCAAAGTAGCGAGAACAAACCTTGCCAAATGATACATAGCGGTGGCATAAAGAAACTCAGGGTGAGAGGCAAGTTCAAGCTCTATGTTTGGTGGTTTTATAGGTATTAGCTCGAGGCAGCAATTATCAAGGATGTCTAAATAGTGCGACCAATCGGTATTCAGTTGATTAACGTCGACGGGGATGCCTAGCAAGGTATCTATTGCCGCTTGACGTATGTCATCCATAAAGTGTTGCTGAAAATATCTATGGGAAAATGAAAGGGTAGTGTCAGGGATTCATGTACGTATCAAGTATATATCAATATTTAAGAGTTATGATCGTGGAACTGATAAGAGAGATAATCATTAAGTATTTCAATGACGATGTTCGAACGTGTAACAATTTATTCGTTCTGACAACGTTACAACACCCAACAGATAGGATTATCCGCGGAACAACGAATGATTGTTTTAGAGTGATGTATCGTGTAGGATGTATAAATGAGAATGATGTTCTATTGCAATGCGGATCGTGTATAATTGTGGTCCAATTGTACCTGTTCGCAGAATTCATGCCGTCTTTCATTAAACCGGTAAACTTTCTTTCCCCCGTTCTTGTGTAATCACCCTATAAGTAATAAAATAAACTATCATCGGCATAATCGAGTCCAGTCAGAGGTTTTGCTGATGATTAATACGGTTAGAGCAAAACCATTGAACGTGCTTGTTTCCTACTTGGCTACGAACCTTGAGAGCGTTTGTACCGGCATACTGTTTACTGATTATGTCGCCGTTATTCGCCCAAAGTAATTGAAAGGTTTGTCTCATATTCGTCGGTAGCGTTCCGTCCGGCGGTATTAGTCCTAGCTTTGAAAACTGCATTTCCATCACGGCTTTACCCAAAGCGGTTTGAACAACGTTTGTTCTATCTAAACAATCTATGCAATTCACCCGAAACACTCCCTTCTGCATGCAAATTGTGCCTTGCTTATCGCGCCAGCAGTAACCCATGTCTGCTAATACCGTTGTTAATGCATTGATCAGGATAGACACGTTTTCAAAATGCATTCCTCGACTGTGTTAGGCACAAAAGAAACATTTAGCAATAATTTCGAAGATACTTCCATCGTTGTTAGAATTCCTCGCGGATTACTTACCAATATTCGTGGAAGTCGAAACTCGTGTACGTTATGTCTGGGTGGTTGTAATTTATTACGTGATTACTGTAAGCTTCCCAAATTATCTTCTCCTTGCCGGCTTGCTCTACGAGATTGACGATGCAAACCGGGCCGTACAGGTCGAGCTCCTCGGTAAAATGTTTCTCAAACGCTACCTGAGTCTCTGCTTCGTCTAACGAAATTAATCCCATTAGGATTTGACTAACATTAGATTTTATTTATTCATTACCTTTGTCTATATGTGGTGGCGGCTTATATTTGTAGCCAGGTTGAGACCAGTAGACAGGCACACTGCCTCGCACTTGAACGAATGATACTTGATGATCATGATACCAAACCAATTGTTCAGTCTCTACATAGTTTGCACATTTTCCTTCATCGTCGACACCGCGTCGCTTATACCTTTGTCACAGTGAAAAAACAAATCAGTCTAACAATGCGAATTATCGATAGATATAGTACAATAATAGATAGTTACCTCGTCCCTGCGCGGAACCTACTTCTTCTAGATATAATTGCCAAGTTGAAGGTTTCATGATGAGGATGTTCATCGATGCCTACTTCTACTTTACACTTTTCTATCTGCACGTATCCTTGGATAACCGGTAATATCCAACAGGTTGCATTGTCTGTCTACAAGAATGAAATATTCTAGTAATGATTGAACCTTTCGCGAAACGACCTAATCGAATTCAGAACAATCCTAACTTTTAGATTAATTATATCCTGCAACATGTGCTTGTTCCAAAAAAATCTGTCGTCCACCCTTTGCCAAAGTGGTTTGTCTCGCCCTTCTTCATCCTGCTGAGACTCTGAGACGCAGAGCCTTTGCAGACTGTTGGTAATATCACCAGTTAAACAGAAATAAAAGGAATCAGTTTCAGTGAAGATTTTGTTTAACTCTTCTGAGATTCTTTTGTCAAATCTTTCCTTGTCTTTAACAATGCTTCTCTTGCTCACGGTAGATTTCACCTGAAAATATTATTTTTGACAAATCTGGACAGGCATATTTCCTCTTCCATTTTACCTGCGATGTAGCAAGTGCAGCTGCATGTTGAGTTGTATTTTTTATAGTGTTTGTCGCACTCTTGATGGTTCCCCATGTCTTTGCGAAGGCTGCCTTCTGCGGGACATCGAACAGGCCGCCTTGACTTTTTTTCTTTGGTAAATTCTGATGTTTCTTACACGGTAGAAGTCCAATGTCATTGTTCTCACTGCCAATATTTAGGAACGCGATCGATTTGATCTTGTATACAATATGACCCCCGTACAATTCTCCAGCTGGTGAAACCTCCTTGATCAACATCAAACGTGGCTCTAGCACGCATGGCTGCTCTATCTTCCCAACAATTCCATAAAATATTCCAAGGCATTCCAATTCCTTCGGGGAAGCCCATTCCCAATCTAAAAAAAAAATAATATGATGAGGATATTAACATAAAAAAATTAGACCATTCAACCTTATCTCTGACTAATCGCGTTAGGCCAAGTTTATCGCATACATGTATTTACATAATTGGCGAGGTATAGCTGTCGGAAAACCGCGAGTGCAATTACCTTTTATGGCAATTCCCTCGCATCCACGTTATTTTAGCAACAAATCTAATTACGATTTAACAATAGATTCCGCGTCCCAAAGAAAAATTGCGACCAAGCGTAAGTTTATGAATGAAAATCAAGCGAAATAGTTACGATTGCGCGAATTCATGAAATAATCGAACGTGTCCCAATTAGGAACGACAAGCCGAGGATTGTAACGCGGTTGACGTGACGGTACATATGCGATGCACACACTTCTGTCAAAACGCTTAGCCTGACATACCCACCCGATTTAGCGGAGAACTCTCCCGTGTATTTGTCACACCAGAGGCTGTACCTCTCTTTCACGAAGATGAAATGGGTGTCTGTACGGAGCAGCTCCATGCTTCCGACTTCTCTACTGACGTGCGATTTCTACGCAGCATGTGGAATATCAGCTATCCGTAACGAAGGTCCGCCTATCACAGACATATTCGCCATATTGCTCCCTACGCGAGACGCACGAGACTAACAGTCAACCCGTTCCTCGCTGACTATCTACCTAGCTAGCTTCGATCAGAATAGATGGCGATCCGACAGTAAATTAATTGTATTCAACTATCCTTTGGATTTTAACGCGGAGAATCAAGCAAAATGTTTATAATCGCTGAAATCGACTTTTTAAGGATTTGGTCTCTGATTTTTCGGTCGTAGTAACGGGTAGAGAAATGAATGTTAAATTATTTGAAAGACATAAGATTTATTTCAATGATCTGTGATTACATATCTTCTATATGTTCCACAATAAACTGATAAGTACATTATAAATACAAAAAGGCGTGTGAAAATATGCGAATGGATTAGTCAACGTTATCACTAATATCGTCGCGTGTCCACGTCCATGGAAGAATATTAAAATGATGATGTCCTTTTACACGAGCTGTTCATTTGACCGAAGAAGAGTTTGGCTTTCGCGCGGCGAATCCACAACAGTCGATTGGCGTGTCCGATCAATGAAAACTTCATAAAATTTAACAAGCATTTAACATTCTTTAAAAAAAAAAGAACCAAAGAAACGCTTATTCACTCTTGCTCTCACTTCCCTCCATGTTTCTCCTCTCTTCTTCTTTGATTTTGTCGATTATATACTCCTCCCATTTTCTGTGATTCAATGTCTGAAAGTCGTCGACGTTGGCTATCAATAATAAATACTGGGACAACTTTAACAGTTCAATGTCAGTTCTTCCTGTGAGGTGAGCGTGCCTGAAGGGTTTTATCTTCAATCCCGATTGTGGATTCATGATAAAGTTTCTTCTAATGTCGTCAAACATTATCGTGTTCTTCGCGGAGAACTGTTTGTATTTACCCCAAATGACCGCCAGCGGCTTTGCCGTGACAGTGCCATGTTTCGATGTGCGAACATTGATCATGGCCCTGGAGTCGAGCTGGCAGGCTATCTTGTAGTACGGATTATTGGCAACACCGAGCACTTTCATCTTCTCGTCGATCCACTTCATACTGGTAGCCGACCAAATCACTATGTCATAATTTAGATAAGCCAGGGTTAAGAATTGATGAAGAAAGGGCCGCATCAATTCGGCACCAGTCTCCGCCGTCGACATTGGATCGAAAATCGTGTGATCTATATCGACCACCAACAGTTTCTTTCCCTCTCTGAACGGATTCAATTCTACGAACCTGTAGCAGTCGATTCTACATTGAATTTGAAGCAGACACAACATAGCGTTCTCAACTTCCAGCTCGTCCTCTTCCGTGTTAAAGTCGTTAATAACGTCGGGCAAGTCTTTTGGCGCGCGGCGAGCCTCCGCGATGTCCTCTTCACGCGAGCCCATCAGCATTAGCTTGAATCCGGGTTTCATGCCCAAATTCACCAGGGTTTCCTCCTCTTGCGATGCTTTGCCTGGTGGGAGCAACGATTCTATAGACACTCGACGGAATTCAGTAAACAGACACCTCAACTACGTCGAGGTGAACGGGGGACAGAGACAATGACGAATTAGAGTGTAAATCATTTAAAAAACAGTAGTCGAAGGGGTAGCAGACTTTATTTGACAACTGACAGCAACCGAGGCTGCTTAGGGTACAAAATAAGGAGTGTTAAGATCATGAAAACAGTCCAAAACATAACCTTTGGTTCGAAGGTTCAAGAGTTTCTGACGTTGCGGAAGGATGCCGGTTTCCTTGTATATCCTTTTTTTCAACCCGCGGACGGTGTCGGACAGGTTCACGTCTGGCACCTCGATCGTTTTTCTGCCCCATACTACGATGATCTTCCCTACATTCTCCATTCTTTTTTACGAGAGCAACGACGCGACACCAGGCCAGACGGTGTGTACTACGAAGTACGACCGTACGCCTACACACTTTCATTTACGCGTGTACATATACGAGACCCATGGTGGAATCACACATTCCACATTTGGGTCGATACTGTAACGCCAGGTTTATCAAATACAGCCTCAGCAAGCATGACCAAGAACGTGCTGCCATCGCAGTGATGGTAAGAATTCTTTCTCGTAATTTCATAATTCTTCCTCTTGAATAAACCAAATCCTACGTAGAGATGTTATTATAAGTGTGACAGAGGGTAATCAGCTTAAAAGTATACGAAATGTTACTCATTTTTATAGGGGATGTAGACTTCAATGCTCGGTCGGTCAATTGCAATTGACTCTTGTTATAAATAATATTCTTCTGCTTCAATATCGTCTCTGTACCTTCTTTTCAATTGAGAATTTATACATACCCATTTATACTCTCGTACGTTTTCGAATAACAGAGTTCTCTTTATTTAAAAAAAGAGATTCACCCCCTTCTCAAACAGAAGTACGTTAGTGACATGAAAATGTTGACAGAGTTACATATTTCATAGTAGTCCTCTGGTTTAAACTAAAATATCGTTACGAAACAGGGACTCGTGGATCATCCTTATATCAATGCGAATTTCAATATTTCAGTGGCTTTTAATATTCGACTTGAGAAGCGGCCCCTTTAAACCCTTCGCGATATTTCCGCGACGTTTGATTTACGTTCACTCTTGCCCGCCCGATAAATTTTTATCCGTCTTAAAACCGCTTTCCCGGCGAGATAAAAAAAAAAAGGTGCTACTCATTCGGCTAAACGAAGAAAATCATCGCGGGTTCCGTTTTTACGGCGTCTTCCTTGCTAGATCGGAGCGGGCAATTCGTTGGAGACAATTTCGCAGGCGAAGTCGCGGGAACTTCTTCGTCCCGCGCACCCTTACATAACTCCCCGTTCTTTGTTCGGCGAGAACACACGCGTATAAAAGGGAATGCGACACGCAAGAGGATAGAGAGACCGGTATACCTACAACGGGGCTCTTTCATCCGGAGCAAGGAAACAAATTCATAAAAGAGTTCCTAGTTGGTCGACCTAAAAATGCAAATGTCGCGTACGGGGTTGGTACTGAATTTTACAAGCGGGCGGCGAGGATGGGGCAATTTTTCTTTTTAAAAAATGTAAAACCTCCAGGGGACGATGATGATGCGAGCATCAATGAAGTATTTATACATCCGCTTCCGTAACAGCGAAATTACTGTAGATTCAAACTTGAAGAAATAACGGTGCTATTTTTTTTATCGCCTCAATGAGAGAAAGAAAAGGACTTGCGTGGATTGGGAAAACGGTGGAGTTATAAGTGGAAAAGTTTTCGGGGAACCGTTTTTCTACCCGGAAGGAAACCGCAGAGCTGCGGGACACGAATCGTTTGTATCATTTACGAGCCAAAGCGAGCATCAGTCGCATGATCTCGGAGGCTCATACCGTCGCAACGCGGAACTCTGTTGTTGCAAATGAGCGCGCGAGGCCGCAATTCCGCAGTAATTAAATTTTCTACCCATGTCTCACTCGCGTCCTCTTTTTTTCTTCGCCATACTAACGGCGCGTGAAATTACGTATGCGGACGCAACGCGTTATGCGACGAAACGCGAATCTTTTACAAGGAATTGGGCAACGTGTTTAAACGTTTTACATCGTCGTAGCATCGATCAAACGGCAGCGTTAAAGGGGTTAGTGTCAACGATTAAGCAAAACGTTACCGGCGTTTATTACCATGGCGTAGTTTCGAGCTCCCCTGGAACGATGAGTTATGCTGGTTGCGCAGTTTGTAAACCAGCCACTTCGATAAAGTGGTCTCGACTTTAATATCCGACTGTATCCGCTCCCTCTCGTTATTAAGGGGATATATCTGTCGTCGAGGATTATTTCTTGCTTGCTGCTGCACGATTTATCGTCCCGGAACAACCGGGGTAGAAGAAAAAATGAAACGTAACACAGTCTACGCTCTTATCTTTATTTGGTTTGCCTTTCTCCCTTGGCTAGCAATGAACGAAGAAGTCAACTATGAAAAAGAGGGGTTAATCGTCAGTATAAAGTTGCCAGAGGTTCGACCCTTTTTTCTATCAGATTCAAGGGTCGAAGGGGTCAGCGCCGTTCTCTTTCACCTTTTTTTAACACGATTCAGTGCCCCTCTTTTAATTGGAAGCAGATATAACTCGGCGGCCATATGGGTTAAAGGGCGGGAGGTAAATAAAAGGAAAGAATGGAGAGAGCGAGAGAGAGAGGAAGGGTATGAGAGGGTCGGTCGCGATAAGTTCGCCAACAGAAAGGGACGATGGCTGTTGCTGTTTGTTAGAATGCTCCGAGGCATTTCGCTGTGGAATTCTATAGGAGGCTCAAAGTGGCATCGAGCGTGCCGTTACCATTCTCACGATCCCTCTTTTCTTCCGATCGATCCGTGTCTCGTTCCTTTTACTATTTCTCTTCCTTCTTTCGGCATCAGTTTGTTTAGTATCAATTCTGTTCATTTCGAATCTCGTTCTGCTTTTCAAATAGCATTCATCGTTATTTCATTGAAAACACTGACTATTTGATGAATATTTAGAAAGTTATACGCATTAGATCAAATTCTAGTTTTAATACTAAATTCTACGAGGGTATTAAAATTGACTTTTTTTTCAGTTCACGTTCTACGATCTTGTAGTTTATTATACTTCATTATATGAAGTTGGGATAATCTTAATATCTAAAACCTAAGGTTGTGGCAATTTCATTTATGAACAACTCAAAGTTTCACGATACAACGTCGCGCAATTGCACGACATTATCGCGGGGGTGTGTTGCTGACTGCCGTGAGTCGTAGCGATTATAAAGAAACTATCGTTTGACCTCGTTTTTAGTGGCTGCCTAGACGGTAACACATGCCAATCAAATAAAAATTTCGTGACGTCTTGGGAAATGCATAAAAGCATGCTTGGCGTTTTTCTTATCGGCAAATCCTTGCATACGTGCATTTGGCTTACTTAATAACCGAGCACGCGAGTTTGCGATTATATAAATAGGGGATTTATGGAGTTTTGAGATCCTCAAGCCTAGAAGCTTGTTCAGTAAATAACAATGAGTGATATATGTAATACGTATGCATAGTGAGGCATTAAAATTGCATTAATTCAACGATTCCCTTAAAAACGCTAAGACAGTTTTTATTATGTAGATCTTGATATAGTTTCTTATACACGTGTTACATTTTCTGCTTCGCATATCCAATTTTCTGATAGATGGGCAATCTAATCATAGGGTTGACTTTATCGTTACATCCAGGATGTTTTCTATCTCGAGCCTCCGGTCGGATGCCACGAAGATTGCAAAATTTCGGAACGTCCCGCCCGTCGAAATCGCAACGGAATGACGCATGAAGCGATGCCAATGAAACTTGGTCGCAAATTTCGCGTGCGATTTCTGTGTTCGGTAACGCGAACTTAGATAATACCAGAGGCAGCCTCCAACTCACGAACCGTCGTTTCGGTTGTGACATGCATAATTTATAACATACTCGCCGCTTTCATTCGGCGACTTTAAATTTGAACATTTCTGTAATCGAAAGGGCGGAGGGAGAGAGGGCGAAGGGAAGGTCGCGCGCGACCCTGACAGCGAGCATTATCGTTTGATACTTTAATCCGGGATCATTCCCCAATTCACGACCCGCAGAAATTTCAATCCCTGAGCACCTACGAGGTGATTTAGTTCGATTATCGTCCCTCTCACTCGCATCGGCGGTGGTTCAGGAGTCAATCACGTCGGCGACTCGTTACATTTCCTTGGGAATCGGACGGCAGATATCGAGGGTTGCGAATCGATCGGCTCGGGATTCGAAGCGCAGAGAAATCTGTATCCCTCCGTTTCACCTGCAGGAAATCCCATGATTGATACCGGACGGCACAATGTTGCCTGCGTATAATGCATAGGCGCGCCCCGCAGTCCATAGTGTGTATACACCGGCACCGATAACTGTCGCGTGAATGCGTGCTGCAATAACGTTGATGCAGCTCGATATGCAAACGCTGCCGGTATCCAGCGAGCACCGGCTATGAAGATTAAACGTGTTTTCCAGCATCGCCGAGAGCGCGTGTAAGAAAATGCCGAGAATTATTACGAATATCAAGCTGAGATAGTAAGCATAGAGAATTTGCCTGATTCGATTTTGATACGAGTGACAATAACAAATAATTTCTCCCTCCCCTGGAAAATGTATTAGACACTTGGATCAATAAGACAAAACGAAGTAATTTTATTTTATTGCGATTGTCATTGTATTACATTGAACGAAGCTGTATTTTAAATTCTAAAGTATTTCATTGTCGCGATTATTTTACAAATTCTCGCGATGGCATGCTTTAACGCTTTAATGCTGAGTAAAACTGATAACCAGGGAACTGGTTGTTGGAACCCGATAAAATGATAATTAAAAAACTTCGCCGGATGGAGCGTTACAAACAACGATGTTAAATTATTACACGACCTACGTTATATTAAATTGTTAACGACTATCTTGTATAAAATCTAATAATTACGGATGAAAATTATTTCCTGATGGAGCAAACGATATTTTCCAGTATAGCAGATTATCATTTTATTTGAGTACAAAGTAATGTAAAATGAACAATTAAATGAACATATTTATACAATTTGTTTATAATTGTTGGCACGATCAAAATGCAAAATGTAATTATTAGACAAGTCGAGTCGTGCTTCTTGTTTTGAACACGAAATCGGAGGCAGGCGGGCACAGCTGGCGGGTTTCGCGAAGAAGGGGAGCAGCAGGCCGAATTTTCTAGGGAAGGGTAGTGCAGGACACAGTAGGGTGCACGTACACAGGCGAGAATCGCGGGGCGCACACAGGTAGCGGGAAGATAAGCGCGTGCGACGACGCGGCGTGACGCGTCGCGGCGCGCCGTGCGCCGCGTCGCCACTGCTGCAGCGTAATCGTAGAAAGTCAGTTCGTCGGCGGCGCCGCACCAGTTGTACGCGTCAGGACGCGCCTTTTCGTGCCCCAGCAATTAAACATTGTACTCCCGTGATCTCCCACCCGCGATCCGCTTTCAGTGTCTCCGCTCGAGAAACAATCGTTGACCTTGAAACAATCGAATTACGCGGTTCGACGGTCGCCTGCCGGAAAGGGAAGCGTGGAATCTAGAAGAGAAGCTGATTTAGTTTGAAAGAAACGCGGAGCAGCGTCGCGTTGGATCCAGGAGCTCGCGATCGTTCGTGGTCGTCCCGCGAGGATCTCGTCCGTGGTTAAAGAACAGGTCGATTGCCGATCGAAGAAAGGGTTTTAAGGGACGAAAGTCGGTGGATCAAGTGCCTTTTTCATTTCGGTTTCGCGGGGCTTCGTTGGTCCCGCCCCTCTGGGCGGCTCCTGGCTCCCGGAAGAATCCTCGGCCCGAGCTGAAGGACTTCTCTTCGCAGTACGTGCTCGCATCGCCGGCAACAGGATGTTTTCGTCCTCGAGAGCTTTCCCGCCGATTCTCTTCGCGGCGCTCTTCCTCTGCATCGGTGAGTGAGCTTATCTTAAAAACGATGTCGCTAGTTCGTGTCGTGAACCCGGAGAACGGCACACGGTGTGTAAAAATTGTGCCGTTCAGGTTTGCTACGTGTTTGTCTCGGGCTTATTTTGGAAGATCATTTTCTTCTTCCACGTTGAATGCTCGAACCGATAGTGTTTAAAGTCAAGTTGAACGTAGAATGATTTCGGTACCAAGAAGGGAGGGTTTACGTGTCGGTGGCCGATAACGAGCGCCTAGTACCTTCGAACAGCTCTTAATCGAGTCAAGTGCCCAATTAGCGTGATTCATTGTTCACAATTATTTCCTACGCTCGCGAGTCGTTTTAGATATTGACTTACACTCCGTCGATTTCGAGAAGTTTTTAAAAAAAATGATCAAGTGATCTCCGCAAACTTTAGTGAATCCAGTGTCAGTATCTTAACAACAAAGAATGATCGTTTGCAAAATGGCCAAAGATCGCAAATCTAGTGCGAGTTTCTAAATGAGATTGTGGCCTTGTCTTCCGCGATAATCCAATTCGCCCGCGACGCGCCATTCAAATAATTAGAGAAATCGGTCCCTCGCGCGAGGACGACCAATGTTTTAATAGCCATTCTCGGCACACAAAGTAAATACGGCCGGAAATCGTACGCGTTAAATATTCAGTGCTTCTTTCGTTCCCGTGTTTGTTCATCCCGCAAAATCCACCGTGACTCGTGAATTATTTCCGGCGACGTATCACTAACATTAAACACGGTATCTCTGTCCCTCCGAAGTATATAATCCGCCCCAAAGAGAGCAGATTTATCATCTGCAAAATTAAATCGGCGATAACAGCGTCCAACCCGTATTTCGCGATGATATAATCGTTTAACGCAAACAGAATTGCTATTATCAGGCAATAGCTGTTTTTCAAATATTCACGGTGACAGTCTGTTTGAAGTGTTCGCTGCATGCAGCACGGTGTCAGGAACGTTCCATTAGTCGTTAAGCGTCACCACATAACAATCGTCGGATGACAATCATCGAGCACGCAATATTCCTCTTCGTCCCGATTAACCCACCGAAATCTACCACGCTCCATTAATTATTTTCACCGGCCTATCGTCATTAAACGGTCCGATTACCCACTTTCGACGGAATCAGCGCTCGGAACATGGCCTGTGCATTCTTCTTCCGCCTCCCCCTCCTCGAACGAATCATTTTGCCCTCGTTGATTGATCATTGAAAATATCGAGAATCATTACAAATCGGCAGGATCTATGAAACTTTTTAATGAGAATCAGATATACCGTAAATACATTTTCAATTAAAATATTTAGATTTCATTTATTCTCATGTTTTCATAATATTGATTGACAAACAAGCAATTCGTAATTATGGATGTTTAGATTCGGTGAATCTGGTAATAAATGTGCTGTTGAATTTTTTTAAACGAGGTCAAAGTGTGTCGACGATCTTCGACGTCGACCTCTCGTTATCGAGCTGGACACGGCGATGACAATTATTTAGTGGCATGTCGCTTTGAACGGCGGACGCGTCAAGATGAGACGGGTCTATCCTGTATATCTAATGAATAGCATTATTTTCGAGGACGAAGTTTACGGTTTAATCGAGTCAGTTGCGCGGGCGAACGGATAGGGGCGGGTCTAACCGAATTTTCGGCTGTCCCACATCGCGAAACGCGGGGGTGGGCACCGCCGGGAGTGGGAAAGGGGTGAACGGAAGGAATTAGGCGAACGATCGAGGTCTGGTGTCTCGTGAAACAGACGTTTCTGGGTAACAAGGTGGGGAAAAAGGATTGAAGGGGTGCTGAACAATCGGTTTACTGGGACCGATATGCGACGTCAGAAAATAAACTGCAATCGTTATTATAATAACATGCGGGATGGCAATGTCAACGATATCATGCAAGATTCTCTGAAATTATTTCGATCTCTTCAAAATGTATTGATATTCAGAACAACGAAGCGTCCGGATTAATGGGATAAAATGAGCGATCTCTAATTATAAAACAAAATAACGCCGGGTCGTACTTATCGTTACTCAGAAATTTCCGCGTGCAAATTAATAAAATAATTATGCATTCACAATAATTATTCATATCGTAGGACAATTCGTCTTGTAGTGAAAATATCGATGAATTCGGTCAGCGGAAATTAATTGGAACATCCATCAGCATCCATTGTTCCATCGTTCTTCCGCAGGGTTCGATTCATGGTTGTTAATTCTTCCATCCATCAAGCGAAACTTTTTCTCGATGGCCGCGCGTATGAAAGCGTGCCGTTTCGCTGCCATAATAATGGGGTCGATTCATTGTATCCTTTTAAAACGGGTCCGTCTTCCGCGTCAGCTAATCCGGAAGCGCGCGGATCGCGGAAGTTAAGATTAAGGATCGCGTAGTGCTCCGCGGAGCCAGCGGCTACCCTGACACACTTTAAACGGGGCAATTTTGCGGGGGTTAAGCTATCGACTAAGTACGGCAATTTGCAAAGTGGAATTATCGGGTACGGGTGTTGGTTCGAGAATTCGCGATGATAGTGTCGTCTCCTCCTTGCCTCTGACTCTATACACTTAGAAACGTGTGAAGAATTATTTATTTAAGTCGCTCTTGCAATGCTCTGATATATGAACAGTATCAAACTACTTGGGGTAGTTAGGAATTTTCTTTGATAGCAAATATACGTGTACATGTTTAACCCTTTTAGTACCGAACGACGATATATCGTCGTTCAAATTTTCAATAAATAATGAAACACAATTCGTAACGTTTTATTCTCCCTTTATTTCCGAATATGCTGCTTTTTATATTTTGTAAATATCACTTCTACTTTCGTTTTTACGAGCATTTTCGCAAACCTCTGCAAATTCGCCGATTCGGTCTTTTAGTACCGAACGACGATATATCGTCGTTCAAATTTTCAATAAATAATGAAACACAATTCGTAACGTTTTATTCTCCCTTTATTTCCGAATATGCTGCTTTTTATATTTTGTAAATATCACTTCTACTTTCGTTTTTACGAGCATTTTCGCAAACCTCTGCAAATTCGCCGATTCGGCCCGTTATTCTTCGCTTATTGTTAGGTACGTTCTTTTCGCCGTTACTAAAAGGGTTAATAGTTGTATCAAAGGAGAGAAAGTTAGATTAATTATAAATGCGAAATGGAGAATGTATGTATGTGTAAAAAAACAATTTTAATACATCGCATGTTTTTGTCTTGAAATTTCACTACCGCGTATTTTGCTTTTCCACTCGCCACGATTCTCCACAGGTCTTTTCACTCGAGATCTGAGGGGGACTTGACTCCGCAACGTAACTCTCGCGCACGTTGGTCATAGCTTACGATGGAAACTCCAATTGCATTTCTCGAGTCCATTCACGGTGAAACATACAAGCGTTTCACGAACCGCTATTAAACACACCTGCATTCCTGTTTTAAAGTTATTTGCAAGTTACACACTCAACCTGTGCTTTCGAATATCTGTTTTTTTTTATTTAAATTTTACTGTCGGGACTGGCTTAAGAAAAAGACAAGTAAAATTTACTTTAAATTCTTTTAAGAAATAATCGAATTTATATCATTGCCAATGTCCTAATCATCAATCAAATAATCTGCTTTTGAATCGCATTATTTAATCCACCTACGAACGGTCTGGTATTCTTGCTGGTTCAGCGTTTCCCGCGCGAAACAACAGTCAGCAGCCGCCATTTCCTCCCGGAAGTTGAGCGATCCGGGAGCAAAAGTGGTCTCTCTCCCTGTTTCTTGTCCAAGATCTTTATAGCCTGACCCGAGCGATACAATGCGACGCTTTAACGCGAATGTTTCCCTTTTCTCACAGCCACCCAATCACGTAAATGGACGTCCGACGAAAGATACCGCATATTTCTTTACCCTTTCCCCTCCTCTTTATACCTTACGCTCACGTCGTCTCCTCTCTCCTTATCCTGCTTTTGCATCGACTCATCTAATAAGGACACGAATATGGAGTCTCCTAATCCCCAGACCATGCCGACACTTCAGCCAGGAATTTCTCTATTCAGTACGGTAATAAAGCGATATGACGGTCGTAAATATACCAACCGCGCCCATCGCGAAGCTTTATCACTTTATTACCCCCGTTGTCTTCGGTGCACCCGTCGCAATCCCGGCTGACAGATGCGTCGCCGATTAAATGCGTCTTTATTATCTCATTTTTATCCCGTGCTTTCTTCTCAAAGAACATTATCCGCGATCTGAAACTTTAAGGTGCCTCACGTTGTTCTTTTATTACATTATTTGTGGAGAGTACAGATTTAAGTGGCGGGGAAATTATGAGAGCCAATGCTTCTTTGTGGTTCACTCGCGGATCGCTGCAGGCGATATCAAAAGAGGTTTCTTCCACGGCAAGGATTAAGTCGAGGAGATTCCATGGAGCTTCATCATCCACTGATAAGAAAGCTTCCCTACAAGTGAACGATACGTCAAAGCCTCGTATCTTTCACGAGCGAGATCAATTCTCCCGATCGCAACAAATCAATGATAAAAAAAAGTTCTCCGTTCAAAATGAAGATTACTATACACAGCGTCACGGTTCTCATATGAAATACGATCCTATAGACCTGTCCCGTCGCAACACCTAACGGTATCTCACCCGATGAACTAAAAATCCGTACAGGAATATACGTTAAAGCGATATTTTGAAAGGATACGAGTCGCTCGGGCATCCCTCGCATCTTCAATCACGCTCGTCCCCCATTCCCCGAAGGCATACTTCACCAGATCCGTATCGTTCGGATTGCAGCCCGAGATCCCGGGTCAGAAGGGGCGGGTTACGCGTCCCATTCGCGATCCCGGCTCAAAGGGGTTACAATATGTATGCCCGTGCGGGATATAATATTTTTAAGTCCGCGTCGCGACGTCAATACGGGCCGGGACGGACGAAAGTCGGTACGCTTTGCCGATTCATCCGTCGATCTAGTTAATTTCGATGAACGATCGATCGCCAGGATGTTCAAAACAAAAATTT